TGACTCCAAGTGAATTTGATTTTCAAAACACTCCAAGAATCGGTCTCTGAAGAATATATGTCGATAAAGTGCATAAAACATCTACTTGCTTTAGGATCATTTCTGAAAAATATATCTTGCCATATGGAAATAATCTTATAATAAGGAGATTTGAATGGATCAAAGGCCAAATTAACTCCAACATGATGAAAGAACCTCCCTCTATTACCAATGGTCACTCCACGCGTTATAGGAAAAGAAAACTTCTTGAACTTCTTGGTAATAGGGTTGCATAAGAAATAACTACTGCCATTATTACTTTGAGAAACACAAAGAATCAAGCCATAGCAAGACTGAAGGATTCTAACATTTCGGGCATGAATGAAATCAAAGAGAGGAAGTCGCTTCAACTCAGGATTCAGACGAAGGAACATGAACTTTGATGGTAGTTTTTTGTACACGACGTCGAGGAAAAGGGCCTGCTGTGGTTTAAGAAAGTGGCTGTTTTGGAGGAAATGAGTATAGGAGAGGCCAAAATGAGGGCTGGAAATTAGAGACAGCCATGGTTTAGATACGATCTTAAATTTTATTAGAGTTTTGATGGGTAGTCTGAGAAGGATATCTTTCAAAAGATCTTCACTATTAGCAACCATCTCTGCTGATGTGATGTTCAGCCTTAGTCGAGAGGATCGAGTCGTCACCATATCTAATTTGTAGTGGTTTTCTTTTTCTTTGTTTAGGGTTTAGGTTTTGATACTTTGTAGCACCTTATTTATATTGAAGATTGAGGAAATCAACCATAGTTATCAAATTCGAATTGGTCCTATAATTTGGTTCGAGTCGGGTTTTTAACCGAACCATTTTTGTAATTGATTTGGAAAAAATTTATATTGACTCGTCATGTTTATGAAAAATCAACGATTAGTCAAGTTTTAGATTAAATCCAATCAATTAAATATGGTTTTTAAGGAAAATTTTAAAATTATACTTAATTATAGATTCCATGATTATTTTGACTAAAAAAATTATTTTTCTTAAAATAAGTTAAAAACAAAAAAATACATTATGCAAAATAAAAAGTAAAAGAAATCTTTATGATCTTTATATCATTATTCTTCGGCCAAAAAAAGTCTTTATAATCTTAGCTTTTTTTGTAATTTTTAAATAATAATAAATATTTCTAATTATATTATCACAACTTTTTAGTTTATTCAAGTTTTAAAAAATTTTATATAATTTATAATTTTATTGAAAATATTTTATTAACCTGAATGACCAATGGTTAAACCATTTGATTCAAGACCGAAGGCTTGAACATTTCATTATCCAAGTGTAACTTGAGATCAAAGATTCTTGTAACTATGAAAAAGTTGACAAAATTCGGATCAAATCGAATTTGGTTTGATTTTTTTGAATAATATATAATATTATGAATTTTAAAATCCAATTCAATTTGAATTGACCTTTCACTGAAGTTGGTCTAAATTGAATTTTATTGGTTTGCTTCGTTTAATCAATTTAATCAATTTAAATTTTTATTATTTTTTACATATTATTTTAATATAAAATTTAATATATTTAAATAGATTTAGATATAAAATAATTATTTTTAGTTTATAAATTTTTAAAATATATATAAGTTAATAGAAATATATAATTCGATTTGGTTAAATTTTTTGGTGTTTCACTTCTCAATTTTACATCTAATCTGAACCTTCATATATATTTAATATTCGAATTAAATCTAAATAGAATAAAAAATTATTCGAAACCAATTTGAACTCTATAATTTCTAATCAGTTTTTACTTTTCGATCTTTTTCTCTCCCCTAATGAAATCCACTAATTTTATTTCTAACTTATATATGGAAGGCTGACATTTGGGAATGGAAAAGGAAAGTTTGCCTTTTTACCATGCATATATCAATTAATTAAGAACATTAAAATTCAAATATAAATTTCCATTTAAAGATCAAATTCCATAATTGAAATAAACATTTTAATGACTTTTGTGACACTTAAGGAAAATAATGTGATATTTTGAATACATATATATATATATTGTGTGTGTGAAGTAGGGGTGTAATCAATTGAGTTTAAGCTGATACAGTAGTAAGCTCAAGCTCGAGCTTGATTCGAAATTCAAGGCTCGAAACTCGACTCAAACTTAATCGAATTTTATTTTTCTAGCTCGAGCTCAACTCGAGATAGAAATCAAACTACTCGAGTTTATTCGATTAGGCTCGATTAATATGTAAAAATAAGCTCGATTCTTATATTTGACAAAAGCTCGATTATTTGTGCTCGAGGTCAATCTCGAGTTTGAGATATTTTATTAATTAAAATAATAAAAATATATTTAAATATAAAAATTTGATTAGGCTCACGAGCTACTTGAGCCAAATATAAGAAAGCTCAATCGATAAATTGAGCTACTCGAGCTTGAGCTTGACTCGATAATAATCAAGTTGAATTCAAATTTTATTCGAATTGAACCCAAATAGCTTGTAAGTACTAATGTATCATTTACACCCCTAATGTGAAGCATATGCAAAGACAAACTAAAAAAAAAATGTCAACTGAAAATTTCAAATTGGTCAAAGTTAACATACATATCTTTTAATTTTTTTAAGTTTTCAAAAATTTGTTCAAATTTAAAAGTATTACTATGAATATATAGATTAATTAGGTTTATGATTATTATTAAACCATTTGACTTGAGGTCGGGAGACTTGAATAGGTTATTATCTAATCCAATTTTGATAACTATGAAACCTACTGATTTTATTAGTAACTTATATATATATATATATATATATAGACACACACACACATTCATACAAGGAGGGATTTACTTATATTTGTGTAATTTTTATATTTTATATTTTTGATCAAAATTATTAAATTTAAAATTATTATTTTAATTCAGATAAGTCGGGATTTAATTTTGATCTAAGGATCTAAAACAAAAAAAGAGTTACACTAGTGTAAATAGATCCCTACTATATATATATATATATATATATATATATCAAAATATTAGATTCTTAGGAAGGTGAAAAAGAAATACCAACCATAAACTCCAAATTTGGTCTAGGTTAACATGTATAACGTTCAAATTTTTTAGGATCCAAAAATTTATTCAATTTTAAAATATTATTATAAATAGATTAATTAGGAATAGGATTATTGCTTGTCTTTGTCTCCACCTCCTTATCTCTTTTTTTTTCCTCTTCCATTGATTAAGTTACTTTGCAAAATAAATAAACAAAGAATTAAAGATCACTTTGCAAAATCTTTGTGAAGAAAAAAAATGCAAGGAAAGTTGTGATTTGGAGGAGTTTTTTTAGAGATTTACAATAGATTTAGCAATTTAAACACAATTCCATGATATGACATGTATATGATACAATAAAAAATACAAATGTGACATAATTTAAAATTTTAATAAAAATCATATATGAAATTAATAAAATTAAAAAATTTATTTTATAATTTTCATGTTGACACAAACAATGATTCGTAATGTTTATATAAAATACAATATAAATATATAATTTATTAATATTATATACGATAAAAGTATATAAATTATTAAATCTAATTTGAAGATGGTCCAAATGTCTTCCTTATAACAAAAAGAGTATATATTCCAATTTGATAAATCAAATCGACCTTGGCTGAATGTAGTTAGCTATGGAGCAAATAAACAATATTCAATGTTACTTTAGCATCCCAATTGAAATGAAAAATGGGATTGTAGAAATGAAATTTGATTATAGCCTAAGTCCACACCTATTGGGTTTCATTTTTCATTTAAGGTTGAGCCAATGAGCACAAACTTACTCATTATGGATCCAAAATAACAAAAGGCCCAATCCTTTTAGAGTTCACATATGGAATTTAGGATGTATTAGATATATAAAAGTCTGATAAGATAAAATAAAATGATATTATAAATAGAATTAGATTAAATAACGTCATTTTATCTTTTTTTTTATATGTTCAAAATTAAGATTAGATAATTTATTTATTAGTTAAAATTATTCTTTTTAAAGTTAATACAATTTAAATTAATGATGTAATTTTTATGGATATAATAGGACATGTAAATTTAATCTCATGGATTAAAAATAATCCTTTCTACTTTAGGAGGATTGAATCATCCTATACCAAGAGGATAATTAATACTTGTTGTAATCCTATCTCTTTCTTTAAATACAAATCAAATATAACATAAGATGATTATCTTCTTATTTTATTTATCATCTTATGCATCAAATATGACCTAAATATGTACCTGTTGACTTATTGTAGTCATGGAGAAAAAGTGATGAGGAAAATGGTAAAAAAAATTTTGAACCCAAGTTCATTAATGTTCTTTTTTTTTTTCACTGCCATGGTTGAAAATTTTGGTGCGTTGAAGGCCTAAGGGGCTGTTTTCTGAGGTTGATGTTTCTCTACATGTGTACTACATTTGCTAGACATTTAAACCATCATCTTGAACTACCGCCTTTTTTTTTCAAGATCCATTCCCTTAGTTGCTATCTGACAAACTCCTTGAGGATTTTGTAACTTAATTCGTTATAAGCAGTTACACTTGGAAGGGGGAAAAAAAAGAGAAAGAGAAGAAGGATTACAAATTATAATAATCTTCCCTTTTGCTAGATGTTTGCAATAGGAACCATAAACAAAATAACATTAACAAATGCTTTAATTTAGCACTCGTGGATTTAGCACAATGATTGGTGCATAGATTTTTTTACTCAAAAAATAAAGTTCGAATTGTTTTTAAATAAAAAAATAAATGCATTAATTTAAAAATATTAGTAGTCATTCAAGAAATTCTAATACAAATAACCAACCAAATCAACAAAAATTGGATAATATATATTGAAATATAGCTCAAACCATAAACAATAAAATTACTAAAACTTTGTCATGAATCCAATACAATCCCTTATCAATCCATGGCCATAAACCAAGTACAATTATTCAAGCAGGTATAAATAAATTGCAGTCTCAAACACAAGAGAGAGTTTCAAAGTATGGACAACCCCGAAATCTATCATAATCATGTTGATATTTCTCAGCCTTGGGACACCCTACCAACACTTTCAATTCCTCATCCTTGAAATTGTAAACGAGTTTTAGACCACATTTAATTAGTGCAACCATTGAATCTCCTCCATCCTCATCAGAGTGAAAAGCGAACCAAAGGAGATCATAACCGTCATAATGAGGTATAATGTTGAGCTTTAGCATTTCAACTTCCAGATCAATGCGGTACTTGGGGAACCAGCCCGAACGATCAACTAGCATTTCAAAAATCCGAAATATTAAATAATAAACAGGCCTACGTCCAACCACAAGATGCAAATAGCCTCCGGATTCCCCAAAATATCGAAACCCGCTATAACGCCTTCTTAGCTTTGGCATTGGCATTGGCATCAAACATTCCTTCTCGACATCAAAATACAGTGATTCTCTATCAGTACTATCCCAATAGATCGATCCGTTAAGCAAAACAGCATGATCAAATTTTATGTCACGATTTGAAGTGAATTTGATTTTGGATACACTCCAAGAATCAGTTTTAGATGAGTATATGTCAATTGAAAAATTAGAAGACATATAACGTAAGCAATTGTTTTCCTCATCTTTTTCCAACAACGCTTCCTGCCAAACAGAAATAATCTTATAATAAGGTGATTTGAGAGGGTCAAAAGCAAGATTTACACCAACAAGCTGATAATCCAATGTTAAATGCCTAGGAAAGGAGATCGCCTTGAATTTTTTGATGACAGGGTTACAGATAAAATAGCTTGGATTACCGTAACCTGAAATGCAAAGAAGCAAACCAGTGCAAGATTGCATTATTTTGAGATAAGGGGCATTCATGAAATCGAAAAGTGGGAGTTGTTTGGTGGCACTATTGAAGGGAAGGAACATGAACTTCGTAGGTGGTTGTCGATAGATGACATCAAGGAATAGTGCAGAAGGTTTGAGAAAGCCTTCCTTTTGGAGAAAACGAGTGTGGGAAATGCTGAAATGGGGGCTTGAAATAAGCGACAGCCATTGTTTTGAAACGAGTTTGTACTGTAAGAGAGTTTTTGTTGGTAATCGTTTGAGGATTTCTGTTAAGAGGTCATCAGTGTTGGCAACCTCCTCAGCCGGTGTCCTCCTTCTCCTTTGTCTATACATTCTATAGTTCACCATTGCTACCACTTGTTTATGATACCTATGATTCTTTGTGTATGTGTGTTTTCTTTTTTATACTTGTAAGAATCGTATATATATAGAAAATTAAAGGACTTACCATATAATTTAATCAAATTGAAAAATTGAACACTAAAATTTAAACGGAAAAACCATTTGATATACCGGTTTTTATCCGAAAACATACTTCATATGAAGAAAAAATTGTCACATGTTAATAACTTATATTGAGTTTAAGTGTCAACTAATTATTATAAAAATTTAAATTTAAATTTTATATTAAATAATCATATCGAATTTAACGAAAAATAGATTTGAGGTAGAGAATATAAATTTTTCATTTGTTAAACTTATGATGTATTTTTGCATTTGATCAAATTAAACTTATACATTTTATTTCTATTATTGGATTAATACAAAATAGATGTATTTTTGTCTAAAAGGAAAAGAATTTGATATTTTGGATTGTATTTGCAAAATAAGGAAACCTTATGGGAAAATAAGGAAATGCCACAAAAATTTTCAAATTTGTTTTGCTTAACATTTCCTTTCAGATTTTCTTTTACGTGGTCTCAAAATTTATTTAAAAAGTCAAAATCTTTATCTATATCTATATGTACAATGAAGGCTAACTCTGTGCCTACTATATAAGCAATTTGGCTACCATATATCTATATGGCTACCATATATATCTATATGGCTAAAGGATATAAAAAGCTCCTAAACTATAATTTAAAGATCATCCAAGTTTTTATTTATTTATTGTAATCAATCAACCTTTCCAATATTTATTTACATTCAATAAACCCTTATTTAAATAATAAAGTTAACATTATTAATTTTTTTGCCAACTAAAATAAAATTTCATATGACATCAATTAAATAAATGAAAGTTCATTATAAAACACGATTAATATATGTGGAAATTAAATAAAAATTTTTTTTCTCTATTTTCTCTATTTTTTATGTCCTCTCTCTCATATCCTTTTAGGGATTTGATTGATTGTAATTCGAGAATTGATTAATTAAGTTTTGTCATATGACTAGGTTTTGTCCATTTAAAGTTTAATTACGTTGAAATAAAAGATTAAACATATGATTTTATTACAATAAAATGTTAAAATTTTAAATAATTATTAAATTATAATTTAATGACTTTTTTTATCATTTAACCAATTAATATCTATACCATATCTAAAAACTATCCCTTTTTCAATTTTTCATCAATTTCATGCCAACTCATCAATTTTACTATTCATTTCAAATGTCAAATCAATTCATTTTATTGCCACATCAACTTTATTAAATATTATTATATTTAACTATAAAAAGGTTAACCCTTCAATTCTACAACCTTTTTTTTATACAATTAGGAAGCATGCACATCTCTGATATAATTTATGACCCTACCACTATCTCATCTCTTATCTATGAATAATTGCTCAACATTTCTTTCCTTATTCTTTAAGTTTATAATCTATAATTATTTTGGCAAAATCAATAACAATATATAAAAGCTATTCTTAAATTTCAATTTGCTTCAATTTACTATTAAATCATTAACTTTTTATTCATTTAGATGAAATTGATCTTTTTCTTTATTTTTGTTGGATCGTAAAGTCCATTAAATTTATAATTGTTGGATGTCTAAGGCTTTAGGTATTTTTAACTCTTCAAATTGGGTTTCAACTTTGAGCCATATTATCGACAAAGTAGGAATATATAGACATTATGAAAGAAAAGATTGGGGTCAGCTCCAAAATTAAAATGAAGGAAAGATTAGTGAAATAGGCAACTCATTTACTTTGTATTCATAATTTGCATAATGAATTACATCAACAACTTTGTCCATAATAAAATACCCATTTTTCCATGTCATTAATTGATGAATGCTAAAGAAGTAAATTAATTGCCGCAATCAACTACAATGCAAGACACCAGAGAAACCACCAACTCTCGAAAGTAAAAATAAAGCTAGGAAGTGACCAAGCAACTCTAAAAATATAAATAATTAATAGTTGTTTAATGTTATAAAGTAATCATTTTGTCATAAAAAATTTCAAAAAAAGGTTTGAGCATGAGTTTTGGATTAAAGTTCTGAAAATTTTTATAAATTTGATCCATTGGATGAGAATGAATGGGTTGGGGATTTAAGACCAAAGTTTTTAAAAAGTGGAATGATCTATTTATGAGTAATGCCCTAAACTTTTTTACATTTATTTATATTTAAAAATTTTAGACTAAATCCAAAAGTTAATTAAATAATTACAAGCGCTTTTGGTTATTTAATTTTTTACATGAATTAAATTTATCAATTACTTTTTAAATAAAAGGGTAATAATAAAAACTAAATTTAATAATTTATTAAATAAATTAAATGATAAAAAACTATTTAGCAAAACACTCTTTTGTTAAAAGAATTTGATAACATAAAAATTAATATTTTTTACCATAAATAAAAATATATATTAAGATATAAAATAAAATATAAATATTTTAAAAAATGCATATAAAATAAATTTTCAAATGCATTTTTATTATGTAATTTATAAATAAATATTTATAAATATTTAATTTTCATAATTAATAAAATATAATTATACTAATATCAATACATATATTTAAATATATATAAATAAAAATTATTAATAAATCTTATTTAATATAATTTAATTTAGAATCATATTTCAAAGTTAATTAAATAAAAAGATTTATTAAATTTTTTAAGAAACCCCTCGAAAAAGTAAGAGCATCAATCTAGTATATAATCAAAACTAACACCATGTCTACTATGCAATTTGACTATCATTTGGCTCACATGTGCTTGACAGTACCTCTAATTTTTGAATTTTTATTTTTAAATAATTCTCACCAAGTGAGAGATATAAAAAAAAAAGGAGGCAAGAAATGGAGAATGATTGCGAGAGAAAAGAATTGGAGAAATCAAGCTGACTAGTGATGCTAAGGCCATGAAATAGGTTTTGTATATATATTTTTGAAGTGTTGAAGAAAAACAAAAAAAAAATGAATGACATAATTATTATATTAATATAATATAATATATATATAAATACAATTTAAATTAATATATTGATTAAATAGTGAAAACAAAAAAATAAATATCCAAACATTAATTTTGGGTTTCTCAGTTTAATGTTTTTAATATACTTTTAAATGTTTCATACTGATTTTTGTATTTCTTTTGCATTAAATTATATTCATCAGTAATTAAATTTTAAATTTATTTAATAATTAATTAATTTCTAATCCTAAACATGATTAATATATATGGATACTCAATTTAAAACAAAAATAGCATCAATCAATGATATAAAAAAGAAACAAAAGATTAAAATATATATAATTAATGTAAACAAAAGAAATAAATATTATAGATGATTTTAAATTAAAAAAATAAAATGATAAAAATATCAAATAAGATAGAAAAACGAACATGGAATTCACTCCTTTTTTAATATTTTTATTTCTTCATTGTTTTTACTTTTTACTTTTTAATTATTTAAAAATATTTTATAAAATATTGTTGATTAAAAAATTTAATAAAATACTTAATCATTTAGTTAAAAAAAAAAAAACAATTTCATTTTCATCTTGGGAGAACAAAATCTAATATTATAAGAGATATTTTAATGTGAGTTCCTTAGAATATTTTTCATAATATAACATCATTAATTTGTTTTGAAAGATATATAAACTAGAAATTTAATTAACTCATTGAAGAAAAGATAAAAAAAAAAAAAAAAAGCAGTTCCACACACACGAAAGAAGCTTAAACAACTAGCAATTACGTAACATTATGAGAAATAATGTTTGAAATAATTGTTTAATCAACCTCAACCTACTTCACATCGATTTGTTTATTTTGACAAAAAAATTAAAAAAAAACCCCCACTTATTTCAATGATTCATAACCAAGATTAGCAACCAAACAACCAGCATGAATGAATGTCTTCAATTAAAACCTGTAAAATTAAGATTAGCAATTTAAAAACAAAACTCCCAATTTAATTTTTTTCATCAAAATCAATTTGCTGCAATGTATGACTTAATTACCTTGATCAGACTCAATTCAGAAGCCGCATTCTCAAATCTTAGACACAAGCGAGTGTCTCAAAGTAACGGCAGCTGGCACGAAAAGTTGCAAAATCAGGTCCATAGTTTTGGATGTTGGAACACCGAAGCCTCTTCACTGTCCCATCCACCAAATTATATGAAATTGCAAATCCCCCTGGAAATATTGCTAGCAGCAAATCACCTTTTTCCTCATCAGATTGAAAAGCGCAAGACAGAAGATAATTACGAACACTGTCTTTTGGGGCCAAAACATACAGTTTAGCATCAAGATCTAACCTGTACTTCAGGAACCAATTCGAATAATCTTATCCCACCTCAAAAATCTTAATTCAAAAAAAGAAAATCCGTTTGTAGCTACCATATGCAAATGGCCCCCAGACTCTCCCAAATACCGAACCCATGTCCTATCTACTGTTGGCATTGGCATTTGTTTCAAGCACTCATTGTATGGATCAAAATAAAATGACCTTCTATAAGAAGAATCCCAGTGAATAGAACCATTGAATAAAACAGCATGATCAAATTTCATCTCCTGACTCCAAGCGAATTTTGTTTTCGAAACACTCCAAGAATCGGTCTCTGAAGAATATATGTCAATAAAGTGCATATAACATCCACTTCTTTCGGGATCATTTCTGAAAAATAGATCTTGCCATATGGAAATAATCTTATAATAAGGAGATTTGAATGGATCAAAGGCCAAATTAACTCCAACATGATGAAAAAACCTCTCTCTAGCACCAATGGTCACTTCACGCGTCACAGGAAAAGAAAACATCTTGAACTTCTTGGTAACAGGGTTACATAAGAAATAACTCTTGCTATTATTACTTTGAGAAACATAAAGAATCAAGCCATAGCAAGATTGAAGAATTCTAACATTTCGGGCATGAATGAAATCAAAG